AGGTAGGTAGGTAGGTAGGTAGGTAGGTAGGTAGGTAGGTAGGTAGGGTTTTTTTTTTTTTTTGGTAAAAGCTTTGTCAATTAGTCAGAAGTTCAATATTCTTATTTGCACCCACACAAAATGTGTAGTCCCTTGGTCAAATAAACATTAAACCAGGGCTGTCAAAGTAATTTCCATCAACGGCCACAAGAGCATAATGGTTGCCCTCAAACGGCTCGATGTAATTATAAAACTGTGTAAATGTAGCTAAATTTAACTAAATGTAAAATAAATGCAGCTACCCCTTAAACAATTGTGATTTTTTTACTTACTCATTTTACACACAAAAAAAAAAATATATATATATATATATATATATATATTTGCATAGATGTAGAACAATATTTCTGCTGTTGTAACAAAAAACTTTTAATTTGTCAGCTTATAAAACTCACATTACTCCATAAACCAATGATCAAACTTTCCAAGTGATAAAAACAAGTTATGGCATTAACTTTGTTCAAAACGTTTTTGTCATAAGAGGGGCAGAATAATAATCCAACCAATAATTGTGAGCTGCTAAGAACATGTGACAGGTGTAGCATTTTACAAAAAACTAATGGTTGCACAGCCTGGCAAGGGTCATACAGCCAACTAATGAGAGGTGGTTTTATTATAGAAAACATTTGCCTGCATAAACACATAAAACTGCAATCCCAAATACATTTCTGCAAATTTAACATAACATACTGTAATAAAATGCATTAAATAATAGTAAACTATCCATCCATTATCTTTACCCGCTTATTCCATTTTGGGTCACGGGGGTCGCTGGTGCCCATGTCCAGCAATCACTGTGCGAGGGGCGGGGTACACCCTGGACGGGTCGCAAGTCCATCACAGGGACTCGTAGAGACAAACGAGACAAACAACCATTCAGTCTCTCACCTAGGGATAATTTAGAGTTACCAATCAGCCTAACATGCATGTTTTTGGTCTGTGGGAAGAAACCGGAGCACCCGGAGAAAACCCACGCATGCACGGAGAGAACATGCAAACTCCACCCAGAAAGGACCCTGGACCGGGGTTTGAACCAAGGACCTGCTCTCTGAGAGGCAGCAGCTCTACCAGTTGTGCCACCGTGCTGCCCAATAGTAAACTAAAACAATAAAAATAACATTACAGTTGAAGGCTCACTTTAGCATACTTAGCTCCTTGTTTGGTGTCAAAATGTTGACGTAGATTGTACTCTTTGATGACCACCACTGCCTCATAACACAAAAGACGTACCAGTTTCTCTCTTTGAAGCACAAGCATATATTCACCTTCTTGTCTTTCTTGAAACAGCCTTCCATCTACATCAATCTTTCTATTCCAGGACATTTTGGGGTCATAGCTTGTATTTCTCAATTCCACTTGTTCAGAAAAACTGCAATCTAGTGGTGGGATGCTGTTACTTCACGAGTAACTTGCATGCATTATGGGAAATATAGTTTGTTGTCAGTGCACCCTTTTGACTTATTTATTATATGACAACCAAACCTTTTAAGCTCTTGCAGACCACAAAAAAATAATAATAATAAAATGATGTGGCAGGCCACATCTGGCCCACAGCATTAAATACAGGTATATAATATACTGATTTTATGTTGCTGTCTTATGTATGGTGACACGGTGTTGCAATGGGTAGAGCTGCAGCCTCTCAGCGAGAAGATCGCCAGATCGAATCCCGTCCAGGGACCTTTCAGGGTGAAGTTTGCATGTTCTCTCCATGCATGTGTGGGTTTTCTCTGAGTACTCTGGTTTCCTCCCACAGTCTGAAACATACATGCTTAGCCTGCCTTCAGGCCCAGACCTCCTTTGCAAAATAGATTTGTGATGTCAATGGGATTTGCCTGGGTCAATAAAAGTTGAAATGATAAATAAAATAAACAACACTTTTCCATTTTGATACTGCTAATGTACACCGAAGATTGAAACTGATAATGGTCTGCATCTTTTGGAGCTGATCTTCCTCTTTAAAAAGGAGAAAAGGTGGTTCCTTGTCAAAGAAAAGCAGATCTGGCTCCTGTCATGACCTGTTAAATCAGTTTATTTATAAACAACATTTAAACACAACAGACACGTGTGACATGACTTGGAGACATGGAAAAAAATCGGTTAAAATTAGGAAAGCATGACATAACCAGCTGTAGCTTCTGGGGGACGTGATGTGACTACAACTCAATGCAAACACATCACTTTACCACCTACTCTAAAGAATAATGTTTTAATTTCATTAGGGTGGATATGTATGTCCTCCCCACCCCCCACTGTGCAAAACGAGTTACATTTTTTGGGGAATGATGAGTTTTGACACCAGATGACAAATATGAGCTCTTCATGACTATGTACTAACGTATTAAAATAATCTATTCATCTTGGCTGAGTGAATTTCAGCTTTTTCACAGACAATCAGGGACATTTGGTGAAGGCTGTTATTTTCCTCCATACCAATGAAACAACCCCTATTATGCAGCACATTAATGGCCCAAGCCTGTCATCTTTTGTACATCGTCAGGCATAAGTGAAACCCCAGCCTTTTAAAATACCTTTAATTTTGCTGGAGAATGTTTGTCTCATGCCTGGCTCATTATGGACTCTATCGCAGACAATGTGCAGATATTAGCAAATGACCTGTGTGGCATGAAGTCAAAGTTCTGCTGCAGATATTCATTTTGATTGTCAGTGTGTTTGTGTACTAATGCAGCATGCCACCGATGTTTTGCTTGTCTCTTTCCGCCTTAACATAAATTATAAGCTCTTTAGATGTTTTTAAAGAAAGAAATGAGTAATTGTGCTCTCCTTTACAACAATGAGAAGCTGAGAGGATCCTCCTTTCAGTTAATGATTCTGCTCAAAACAAGTCAGTGCCATTTCTGCATAGATTGTCATCAGTAAAAGAGAATATGAAGGCATAAAATTATTTAAATGGCAGATAAAGAAAAAAAATCTAAATTACTGGTTATTTGTTTGTCAGATTGAAACTTTCAAAAGAACAATAATGACAAGAGTTTTAATATTCAGAGCGAACTGGACAGCTGTATGTATCTGTGCCATACGAAAGAGCACAGGTTAAACTGTTGTCCAAATCATTATTTGAAATGTATGCACTTAGGCAAGCTGTCTCTCCCCAATTTCCTCTTGACAAATGGCAGATCTGTTTACAGCCAATAATCTCATCAAATTCAAAATTCACTCATCAGCTTGTCTCTGTGTATCTTCATCTCCTTGTCTCATCAGTCCTGCTGTATAATGAAATCATTTGGGCTAATCTGAGCAATCATCCTTTTTTTTTTTCTGCAGGGCTGAAGATTCGTGAAGTGACGATCAACGTGTCACGTCAGCAGGTAGAGGACTTCCATGGTCCGGAGGATTACTGGTGTCTGTGTGTGGCCTGGAGTCACTTGGGAACCTCCAAGAGCCGCAAGGCGACCGTCCGCATTGCATGTAAGCAATTTTACATCGCTTTGATCCGGGGGTTGGGTGAATCATGAAACATGGTATCATGAACATTATTATATGTATGCTTGGCTGGATGTTGAAAGTCATAAGTGTAGCCAATTTAAATTTAATGTTGCCTCATAAGGCTTTTTTTAGTTGTTTTTAATGCAGACTTTTTCTTGTCTTTCTTAGACCTGAGGAAGAACTTTGAGCAGGACCCTCAAGGCACCGAAGTGCCTCTGAATGGCATGATTGTGCTGCACTGCCGTCCCCCAGAGGGAGTGCCTGTGGCTGAGGTGAGGGCTGCTTGCACTTCAAACAAATATCATTTTAGGGGACCAGCGGAGGCATGGGAACACAGCTGCAAAGTAGTAGCATGTCCATGCATTCAGCAGAGCATGGAACCATATTGCATTTGTTCTGTTTTAGTTATTTTATTTTTTGTCTGTCAATAAAAGTCATACTGCAGCATAAGGCATACTGAGATGAGTTTAAAGTGATAGTAACTATAGCCTTCGCATATGAACCAGAAACATACTTAGCCAAGTCCACCTAAAGAGGTCGCTATCATTGAGGTATATGGATTTTGGTTGCTTCTATTTTTAAACAGTAAGTCACATAATTTTTAGGCATATCTCTGTAATCTCTGGAGTCTCCTAAGTAACATCTTATAGGCCACGCCAATTTACATTTTAAACTTTTTTTGCTACATGGCAAAATTAGCTAAAATTACTTTTGACTTCTTTTCTAGGGCAGCACGGTGGCACAACTGGTAGAGTTGCTGCCTCTCAGAGAGCAGGTTACCCTGGTTCCAAACCCAGTCTGGGTGCCTTTCTGGGTGGAGTTTGCATGTTCTCTTCATGCACACATAGGTTTTCTCCAGGTACTCCAGTTTCCTCCCACAGACCAAAAACATGCATGTTAGGCTGATTGGTAACTCTGTCTCTAGGTGTGAGTGAGAGAGTGAATGGTTGTTTGTCTCATTTGTCTCTATGTGTCCCTGTGATGGACTTGCGACCTCTCCAGGGTGTACCCCGCCCCTCACACAGTGATTGCTGGACATGGGCACCGGCGACCCCCATGACCCAAAATGGAAGAAGAGGGTAAAGATAATGGATGGATGGATAATCGCTTGTATAATGGACAGAAGACATAAAAAACCCTGCATTTTAAAAATACTGGAACAATTTCAGAACACTATTCCTAAAAGCAAACAAACATCATCAACCATCATGACCACTCTTCGACAGCAACAACAACAAAACAAATAATACAACACCACTGGAGAGCACAACCCAGTCTATCATTTTGACTTGTCCTTAGCCTGGGTAAAAGGTGAGCAATGTGTCAGGAAGGGCAGCCATCATTAAACACATTTGCCAAAACAGAGATGCAAATTTGTCCAAGCAGCATTATACTGAATTGGTTGGCCCAAGTTAACAACCGCCACTGGTGCTGTTGACACAGAGGCTGCTGTTGGAAATTGTGCTACTGTTAGTTGAAAACAGGCAAAGGTGGAGAGATGCCTGATATAATGCAGAGAAGAAGATAAATGTATTTTGAGAGCACAAGACCAAGTGGACCTCATAGGAAGGGCAGCAAGGCTTACATAATTTCTCAACACCTGGACACCTGGACCTATACCTGGACCAACCATTCTGTGTTCATCTGCCTCTCCTTCCTGTCCTCTCAACCAGCCGGTCAAAGCAGATGGCCGCTTGTCTTGAGCCTGGTTCTGCTGGAGGTTTCTTCCTTTTAAAAGGGAGTTTTTCTTTTCCACTGTTGCCAGTGTGCTTGCTCAGGATGGGAGACTGCAACGAAGCCAAGATTCAACCTGTCTGCTGGATTCTTTAGATAGAGAACTTTACTAATTGGCTTTTATGTATGTGAATGTTCCTGTAAATCACTGTGGGAGAGGTAGGGGACACCTTGGACAGGTCTCTAGTCCATCACAGGGACACAAACAACACAAACAACCATTCACTCTTTCACTCACACCTAGGGACAATTTAGAGTTACCAATCAGCCTAACATGCATGTTTTTGGTCTGCGGGAGGAAACCCGAGTACCCGGAGAAAACCCACGCATGCACGGAGAGAACATGCAAACTCCACCCAGAAAGGCCCCTGGACCGGGGTTTGAACCAAGGACCTGCTCACTGAGAGGCAGTACAAGAGATTATGCCTCACTGAAATACTTTTGTGGCCCTTTAACCTAAATAGATGCAAAATGCTCCAGTTGTTTCTTTTTTGATCCAATTACCTTACTTTTTTAAATTTATACATTTGATGGTTTTTTATGTTCTGTTGTAAATTAAATTTGAGATAATATCTGTTGGAAATCATTGCGTTTTGTCTTTGTTTACATTGTACATAGTGTCAAAACAATTCTAACTGGGGTTGTACATTTATGGTATTGTTTGGACACATTTCAATTAAGTGCATGTTCCCTAGCTCTTAAAATGGTGTGGTGTTGAAAAAAGAGTGTACGCGTTGAGTGAAGGTGAATGTTAACTTGACTGTGTGCGCAAACCACATTTGATATTAACCGTGAAAGACTTGACTAACAGTAAATGTACACTGTAGGGTAGGCAGAATGCAAAGAGGGTCATCCACATGAATATATCTTTGAATGTCTAGATTAGTTAATAAGCTAAGCGCTAATATTCCTTCAAGATGATCCTTGCAGGAATGAGAAAGTTTTAGATGTTGGTGTAAAAAGGCAACAGTAGAAGATGTCTCATTATGCCATGGCATTATCTAAGTGTGGAGATCAAGTAAAATGCATTAAAGACAGCAAAAAGCCAAGAATGAAATAAAAGGTTTTTTCATTTTTTTTTCCTTACTTAACCTTTATTTATACAGGTAGTCTCATTGAGACACAATGATTCATT